AAGCACTGGAACAGGCTGCCCAGGGAAGTGGTTGAGTCACCATCCCTGGAGGTATTTAAAAGATGTGTAGATGTGGTGCTTAGGGACGTGGTTTAGTGATGGACTTGGCAGTGCTAGGTTAAAACGTTTGGATTTGATGATCTTAAAGGTCTTTTCCGACCTAAATGATTCTATGATTCTAAATGCTTTCATAGCTGATCCTGCTTAGAACAGGAGATTGGACTAGCGACTTCCTGTGACCCCTTCCAACCTGAATTATTCTATGACTCAACTCTATAACCTGTTCAGAAAGTGAAGCAAGGCTGATTCGATTGGGTTTTGGGTTGGTTTTTCTTCTTTTCTTTCAACCTAAATGATTCTATGATTCTAAATGCTTTCATAGCTGATCCTGCTTAGAACAGGAGATTGGACTAGCGACTTCCTGTGACCCCTTCCAACCTGAATTATTCTATGACTCAACTCTATAACCTGTTCAGAAAGTGAAGCAAGGCTGATTCGATTGGGTTTTGGGTTGGTTTTTCTTCTTTTCTTTCCTAAGACTATGTGAATAAACAATCATCAGTCACAACAGAGAAAATAAAGGAGGTCCTCAAATGATTTGACAGAACTTTATGGTTAACAAAGAAGTTCTGTAGCACGGAAACTACTGAGAATTTGCTAAGGACTATCTGGTAACAAGGCAGACATTTGGAAAGGAAACTTCCTATGATGAGACAGAAGAAGGAAGAGATATCTACAAAGGCTGAGAAGTTCCAAATACACATCATCTTGACTGAAACAAGCAACGGAGACCTGAACTAGAACTGGCTGTGAGCCCATAAACTGACATGCTTTCACCAGAGGCTGAGTCTTGCTTAAGACTTTCTTGTTTGTGTCTCCTTCAAGTTATCCTGTAATGCAAATCCTGAATGGAAATAAGTTATTGGAGGAGCTGAGAGTAAGGCTCCATACATCCAGGAAAGGATGCAAAGGGTATTAAAGGTTTGACTATTCTCCTTTCAGCATTCTTTGCCTTCTCATTTCCTGGTAAATAGCACCACAGCACTTATTGTCTGGAATCCTCTGTAGGAGAAGAGGAGTGGATCAAAGGAACTAGTCTGAGGCTAAGACACATTTTTCATTTAATATTTATGAATATTAAAAAAGATGAAACCACTCCAAATCCATTATTAGCTGTTTTCAGTAACCCTTTCAGAACAGCCCCAATTAAAATCCATTTAAGAATACTCCCTTTATAAGGTATTGATCAAAGAAATAAATGCAATACAGATGGTAAAAAGCCAACCAAATAGCTATATACCACTCTCATTGCACCTTGGAGCCTTTTTGGTGTCAGCAGAAGCTACAAACAAGGTATGAAGAGCGATTACAACCTTAAATATCTATAAAATTGTTCATATAACATTTACAGACAGCTAATTCCAAAATGAGGAAAGGTGGTAACAGTTCTTTACATACATCATAAAAAAGAAATCCAAATGTTGAGAGTAGACTTTGATGCAAAAGTTATTTTTTTCCTTTTAATTACATAATGCATTGTATTTCAATTTGTGTTTACCTCCTCCCCATCTCAGACACCTTGCTAAATCATTGCCAGTCCCAAGAGGCAGGATAGCAACTGGAGGATGCTTAATCAAGTTTGCTTTCTCTGTGAATAAAGAAGGAAAAACATAACTAAGGAACAAAAAAATCTAATTGTATGGTACTGATACAGTAACTGTGTTAAGTTTTGTTTCAGTGAAAGACAGTGATACATCTTTTGTATATGAGATTATGCTGCCTGCTCAGCAACAAGCATTTCACCAAGCCACTCCATTATGCAGCCCCTTCCCCAGTCAATATTCAATCTTTAATCCTAATTTACTCAATTGTTATCACAAGGACTTTTGTAACCCGTAGATGTGATAAACATTCATAAACAATGACACTCAAGATCTTTCCAAGACTGAACACATTGTGCTCTCTGTTGCTCTCAGCTCTGCCATTCCCAGCTACGAATGCAAAAGAGTAGTAGTTAAGGGCATGAATAATGAGATGAATCTTGTACTTTTTCATGTGGGTGACCAAATTTTTGTTTAACTGTGTATTCACTTGGATTCGTTTCTACACATGAGCACCATTACCACGAACTCCCTGGAACCAGCACCAGGGGTTTGCCCATCAGGAATTAAACCTGCTATTCAAAATGAGCATTGATCTATCTGATCAAGTCTTTAAATCAGTATTTTGTATTTAATAAGTAATATTCTGAAATGTATGAACTTACAGTGTTTTTTGACTCTTTACCAGTACTTTTCTAGCATTTCAAGCCAAAGGATCTCTGTTCAAAACCCAATGGGAAAACCCTTGTCAAGAAATACAGCCTTTCTGAAAGCTGGAAGCGGGGCAGATATCCCCTAGGTATAATATTTCAAACATATAATTTGTCAAATTCTCCATTTAATTGGAATGAGTAGCATGTCTAGTTTAAAAGTTATATTTCAGTAGTTAAACAATCAACTATTTTGTTCATAGAATTATGCACAATTATCAGCAATTCTCAGCAGGAGTCTATATATCCAATGGATGTGGCAGGGACATCTTGTTATTTATCAATTTCTCTCTTCAATTCTTTAGGAAGACTTAGCATTTACAATACCAGTGTACTGCAAATCTTTAAGAGAATTTGACATTTAATAGAATAATTTTTAAAAAGTTTAAAAGTCTTAAACCAAGGAGAAAAACGTTTGTGGTTTTTTTTCTTTTTTATGTGGTTGGTTTCTTGGGTGTTTTTTCCTTCCTGATTCACTCTCAGCTAAGATTCTTTGTACATCAGGAGATCAGGGAAAAAAGATCCAACTAGAAAGTGTCTGTTTCTCAAAACAGATGATTTCTTAAAGTTTATATGCACTACTTGTGCCAAAGGGCTTTGTTTGCTAAAAGACGGCATTCAAAAATCTATTTCCTGCACCTATGAGACAAACGGAACCTGGATCCTCCAAATTATTTCTTAGTTCTGTACCACAACATTTGCTGCAGAAGACAGTATTTTATTAAGACAAAATGCATTCTGTTGTTCAAATAATCCACTGAAAGAGAAAGTAACTGCATGACATTTTAGACCTCATGGAAAAAAATGATGACACAATTAACAGCTGCAAAACTTCACCCCTTCCAAGTTTAGGCAATACACTTGTTATTTATGTACATCGATTTAGGATTTTGAAAGCTATTTGAGAGTTACAATCAATAGCTTGTATTTGCACAAAATTTCTTGGTTTGTTGGTTTTTTTTTTTTCAAACCAAGACTAGACATATATGCCTTTGATGTCACCCATTCCTCCATGACATCATTTTTACTTTTCACTGAAATTGAAAAGGTTTTCCGGTCCACACCTTCCACAAAGCACACACTTTTAAACACTCTTCATCTAAACTTTCAGTTGAGTCTTTTGACCTCTCTTTGTCTCCTTCCTAATTTCCATCGTCACACAATCCCATTTTTTTTCCTCTGCAGCCCCTCTAATGCCAAATAAATGATCATGTGGTGTGGGAGATATTCTCCCTAATAATCCTTGAGAAGTTTAACTCTGTAGCATCTTAACTTCTGGGCCTTCCTAATGATTTGTACAGAGGGCTTTACGGCCAACTGACTGAAAGAACTCCCAAAACTGAAATGACGTACATACCTTGCTGCACAGGTATCTACATAGCTGTCAGAACAGTCCTTTTCAAAGGACTGTTATGCCATTGTCTCCATTATGGGATAATGGAGCATAAACACAAATTTGGTAACTGAAAAAGCAAATGAGCTAAGGTAAATGATCATAAAAGAAACAATTTAGATTTGGTTCAGTTTGGGGAATAGACTTTGAACTGAAATTAAAACAGATTGATTCAAATTTCTTGCTTTCTGGAAATCCAGAAGACTACAAACACTGGACTTGTCTAGGGATTTTGAATATCCTTTGCAATTTGAATATCTTTAAAAATAATCATGTCCCAAACTAACACATTACAAAAATTTCAATGAACAAGATCTTGTTTGAAATAGCTGTATCCATACTTTGGTACATAGGGAAGAGCAGTAAAATGAAAAACATGAGTCAAGCAAAACGATGTAAATGCTATTGATTACCTATGCAATCCAAAATCCAGCCTACTGTTCCATCTCCACCACATGCTAGTACTCTGAACTCAGGCACATCTCGGAAAAAGTTTAACCTAAAAACAGTAAATGAAGACATCTATTTAATTATCATAAATGCACTGTGCATTATGCAAACATTTTATGGCTTAAGACATTCCATTTAATAGTAAATGGCAAGTGAACACTGGAAATAATAATCACTTCTGCCCATGCATTAATTTTTTAGACAAATACAATCCAACATTGTATTATCTGAAAAATTTAATATGAAATTGTTAATTCAAGGGTAATTATGGTATATTAATACTAGAAATAGCTTGGACCTGATGTTTAATCCAAATCTTTGTCTCAGTTCAGATCTTGTTTGAAACTATTGTCAGAAAACATTCTCTGTTTACCTAGTTATAAATGGATATGTTGTGTCTCAAGACAGAAAAGTCTAAGGTGGCTAAATGCATTAGCCACAACATTTCCTTGTGAGGTGCTGGCTATAAAAGCATATGAAAACAGCATATTTCTGATAGTACACTAATACATAATAAGCTGAGCATTTTGTGGTTGATAAAAACAACTTTGCACCATGGTTTAATATAAAATGAGTAAGCATCAGATTGAATGGACCCATTCCGTCATCCTACAAACCGTATTATAAAAGTGAAATATCTTTGGTCATATTTGCCTGGCTATTTCTGCTTCCATATCCATCCAGTGCTGGACAGTATCACCACCTCATTATCCACTTCATTCAATACCAATGTTCCATAATGCTGAAAAGTGAGGCTATATTAAAACAATTCTAAGTTGCAGTCTTTTAAATTTAAAAGCATCTTTTCAGGGTAGCTTTTGACACATACTGAAATTAGTCCTTACATATAAATTGTGACTAGACAAAAACCTTCCAGTAATTTTGCTGAATTACTATATATATGTGTATGTATGTACATTCACATATATTCTATTAATTAGTGTCACAGTCACCTTAATGCATATCCTATATGCTAGTTTGCAATCTCCTAATAAATGCACAATTAGTACATTGTACCCAAATTCTTAAATACAAATAAATATACACAATAACTTGCAAGTGTTTAATTCAAGCTATTTTCCATATGAAACTTTAATGCTGCAAAGAGAATGGTGTTCCTGTCCCTAGAAAGTTTTAAAAATGCTTTTAGGCCTCTTGATAAAATCAAGAACACAAGAAAAACTACTGAGTAGAAGAAAGAGCATGGGAGAAGGAAATGGAAAGCACAGCGGTGAAAAAATGTTATTTAAGATGTAGAAGATGACAGGACAACTTCTTGTTCTATTAGTTTTAGACCAGAATTTCAAGGGTAGCAAAGCTACATAGAATTACACCCATCACATTGTTGTCCCACTGCCTCTAATTTTCTCTGCTCTGAAGAGCTCTTAGTCTATTTCAGGTGTCAAGTACAATGTCTGAAGGATGCTTACTCATTCTGTATTAAACCTTGCTTTGCCCTTCTCACCTCTTATTTCTACTTCACACATCTGCAGGACAAGTGCTATAGGATCTCTTCTGATCCAAAACGTCACGTGCCAAATCTGACTGGGTACACTTAGGGAACACATCTTCTAATAAGCCTATGTGCTGAAAGACCCTGTACTGGAAGTCACCTCCTACCACTGTAAGAGTGGGCACTGGGATATGCCCTGGCCCACAGGTGTGCATCTCGGTCACTTCACAAGACCTGGCAAAAAGACAGATGCCTCCCATCACCAGCATTCCCACTTTGACCCGATGTGTTGGGTCTGTAGAAAGTTAGCAGATGTAATTATATTGCTTCCAGTACTGAGGGTATTTCAGATTAATTTAAAATCAAATTATAGCCTAGAGATGATGGCAGGGTACTAACCTAAAAATATTTAAGCATTTCTACCACATGTAACAGATGTCAAAAAGAAAGTCTCAAAAAAACAAATAAGCAAACAAACAAACAAAAAAACACCACCAAAAGTACAGGGTTGATGCTAGCATTAATCTAGATAGGCAGAACATAGACCTAAACCTCCGTCTCCCTTTTTATAAACAAGCACCCTCAGCATATGGCTATCAAACATTCTTTTTGTTTTGACTGTATATTTGATCTTCATCAAAAAAGTATAACTTCCCAAGAAAGTGGGGGATTGGAGAATTTGACAAAACCGTATTGTCAAAAAAATTCTCAATAAGCTTCATTCATATTTCCCCTGGAGCATTTTATATTCATACACAGTGAATTTTTCAAACAATCTCGTAGTACAACGTTACATGTACATTACTTTCTCTTTTTATAAATTTAAATATAAAAATGATACATGCATTATATATAATCCATAAAATACATAAAATTAAAGTACAATATACCTTACATTGTATATTTGCATATATAAATAGTGTATATAAATACCACTATTTATACCACAATATATAACAAATATAAATATTTATAAAATCAAATTTATTTATAAAATTAAATAGTTATATAATTATACATGTAAATAAATCTCATTCATTGAATTAGAATGTGCAGCCTACATGAAGAGTTGGGAAGGGAACATGGTTTTCTGTTTGTAAGGTTTCATTCAAACTCAGTAAGTGTTATAACTGTAAAGAAAGAATTTGACAGATTTCTTAATAGAACTTAAGGTAAAGAGTAAGTATTGCCTGTCAAGATAGCTTTAGTCAATTAGTATTTTAATAGCACCTGTTACCTCTTATCCACAGAACATTTTTATATGGTTTGAAAAAAAAAAAAATATTGTTGCAGAAGAACTTAGTAAAAGGGGTATGAAGTGGAAATAAAAAAAATGGAAGTCGTCGAAAAGGCTTTGTGCGCTGTCAAGACTAAGGGAGAGGATCAGAATAGAAAATTTAGTCCTATTTTCTTGAACCGATTTATAAAATTGTATGAGAATTCTAGGTATGTATAATAAACATCAAATAACATAAAACTATAAAACAGTACTTACAATGGGTCTCTTCCCCAAAAGTTTTATCTCTACTTTTTAAAAAATTATTATCTTTTAACAATTTAGACAATTACTCTTTACATAGCACAATATGACAAGTATGACATTAAGTACAAAGGACAAGTGTCCGTTATATCAATAAGCTTTGCAGAAATTATGTTAATAACCTTGACAGAAATTAAATAGGATATGAGAAACAGATAAATCAGAAACTTCAAAATATCTACTTTATTGGTATCAAATTAATTTGTACTGTAATTCACAGAGAATCATTTAATACAAGACATTTTGATAATTTTTTTTTCAACGAAGAAAAATATTGCCACTAAAAAAATTCCCCTTTTATTTATGGATATGAGAATAGGTAGATATGCTTTTATACAGATTTGATTTTTATAGACACTATAGTAAAAAGCTTTCCTACATCACTTAACGTAAGTCAGCGGAGCTGGAATGGTGCATAAGAACATTAGGCTGGTACAGACTGTAACCCAAGTTACACCTGTTCTTCAATCACTGGCTAGAAGGCAACAAGAAAGATCAGCAGAACTTCTGCTAACATCTCCTACCACAGGACGAACAAAACTCCTGATACATTTGGGAACAAAAGATGAAAAGCCACAACTACAATAATCCACAGGAAGACAAAAAAAGAAGTATGGTTGCATACTAAGGCCTTAAAACAGCAGGATATTTTTGCTAGGTGAATTGTTAGATGACTCTGGAAAATGAATCATTTTTCTTTCTACTGAGAAAGGTCAATACAACCAATCCCTAAATGTGGATTACAAGAGATTATTATATTTGATTGTATTTCTATCATCAAAGTGGACAAGATCATCTAATTCTTGCCTGATCAAATTCTTATATCATTAAACTGCAGCTTCCCTTTTTTTACAATATCTCCCAACTTTTCACATTCTACAAATTTCTTAAGCATAAACATAGTTCTTAGTCCATGGTCAATAATTAACACAGTAAATGGACTCAGTCATAAGACTGAACTGAAAAGTCTATTGATAGACATCTTCATCTCGATAGCTCCCTTGTAAATTGACCTGTTTTAGTCTTCCCTAATCCAGTTTCCTATCTGCTGGAAGTAAAACAAATAAATTTAAACCACTGAAGGTGTTTGATACCAGCCTATTTTTATTTTATTCTGCCAGACACAAGGATCACACACATAGGCAATTACTGAGTTTCTGCTGATAAATTAGTAATTTCCACCTGAAAGATGGCAACTGTTTCAACTACCTATACTACTCTAAATTCAGTTTTTCATAATCATCTCATCAAATCCATATGAATGCAGAGAAACGATTTATGAATAAAACACCAGTGCTAGAGGACTTAACTATTTGCTGTTGAATCATGCATTTAATTTTGCATTTATGCACAGATAACCCCACACAAACACCCCCCCACACACACACCCCACACCCCCCTTATTCTTTTAGAACTGTTTTAGGAAATCCTGTCCCACTCACAGTAAAACTATTTTAAAACGTAAGTTGCAATGCTTTCCATTTAGGTACCTGCACATGACTTTCTCATACCCAGAAGCAGTACATTATGCAGAGATTTCAGGTGCTCAGCCACACAAGGCGGCATTAACAACAGCACTGTGTGAAATCGTTCAGCCAGTCATCTTCGCTCACAGTGGAAGCAAAAATTAAAACTGTCAATAGCCCAAGCAAAGAATAATCCACTGATACTGGTATCTCAGGATAGGTATCAGCTAAATGTAAGGTAAATTGCAAATTATCAGTGGATATAAAAATACTATTTAACTTGGTAAATTTCTCCACTGCAGAGAAGATAAAAGTGTAAAAAAAGGGAACAGAACTTAGTATCTGCCTGCATTAGAGAAGTTTTCTCTTAAATACTCTACATGGCGTTAGAGCTACTTCAGCTCTTGTGGCTTAAACCCATGTTTTTACTGAGCTGCTTTTAAAGTTACCCCTGAGTAATTAGGATTCGGTTTTTGGGAAAGGAGAATAATTTAGAAACAGATAATCAGTAAAATTTGTAAATACTTTTGTCTCATAGCTTCTCAGCCAATATTACTATACACAGTACATGAACTTTGCCAATTACAATA